AAAAAAAAAAAAAAAAAAAAAAAAAAAAAAAAAAAAAAAAAAAAAAAAAAAACATGATACATAGGATACCCTTCGCTGGTTTCAGTGTAAAGCGATACCAATCCATCAGCGCAGCTCAACACAGAAGTCTTTCTTACTGTGGTCTCGGAATTGTAATGCTTGATCGAAGAGCCTAAGGAGTTGGTAAGTCCCCATCTCTCACATCCATGGTGTCCAACGATTTCCAAGGACAGTACTGAGTTGGTCCTTATGTTCATGATCGACCACGACACAGAGGAGGAGGAGTTCAGAGACATGTAAAGATCTCGAAAGAAGTCGGAATCGATTATTGATTTCCATTCTTTACACACTGATCTGAATCTCGCAATGCTCTTCAATGAAAATCCAGACCATATTTTCACCAACAGCTCCTCTGGAACCACCAAATTTCCTTTTTGCTTCACCATTTGAGATCTCGATTTAGGGGTTCTCTCAGAAATTTTTTTTAGTCACATTATCTCTTAGTCAAAAAAATAAAACGACAAATATATAAACAAAACAGTCAACTGTGTTCCGTCTGCCGCACGATTTTGCCCTAGTTTTACATGCAGGGCTGAGAATTAAGGCGATTTTTAATGACTTTACCTAATTTTTTTAAACCGATTTGGAGGTTTAAATTATTGTTTTGGACTTATATATATGTAATTTTTTTCAAAACATTTTAGGGTCCAAAGCCAATGTTTCTTCTGACTTTATATAAAAACATTTTTCTCATCCCAAAAAAAAATCCTTCGAAATGTCTAAATTCAGCCCTATAGCTTATGTAATATGAGGGTATATGATTGTTTCAAAGATCTAAAGCTAAAGACTAAAGAAAATTTTGTTAGAACGAATATTAAAAACCCAACCTGCTTTTGTCGTGGATTGATAAATTACAGACAATATAATGATAGCTCCGGAAATATTACATGTCTTACGAACAAAAAGACTAGGTGGAAGGCATAAGCCGATGACCATAAAAACCGATTTGGTCAAAAAGGTTTTAGAGAAAATGGGTTTGCTGATTACTTGGATCAGTTGGATCATGCGTTGTGTATCTTGTTAAACATAAGATCCTATATCAAGGATATCCTTTATCTCCGATTATTTTTATCTTATGCACATAAGCGCTCGTTAGCCTTTTAAATTATAAAAAGAATCAGAAAAATAATAACGGGAATATGCGTCTCTCGCGCTAGTCCCCCGGTATCCCAATTATTATTTACTGATGACAAATATTTTGTTCATATATACAATTAAATATCACTGGCTTACATTATAGAAATTTTAAATAAACATACAAATGCATATGATAATGTAGAAACAATTATATAAAAAAGTTTTAAATATATATTTATATTAATAGTGGGTATAAGAAATCATAGATTGCAGAAAAATAATTAGCCCAAACCTAATAATATTTCTAATAATATTAATTAATGAAAAAATATTTAGGAAACTTAGATTGGAATTTATAGAATTACAACTATATCTCAAAACTCTTCGAAAATTATATAATACAAAGCTTTTTGATTGCCAAACTATAAAAAATAAAATTTTAATTTTAATACTTATGATTATAATTCAAATTAAAATAAAATAAAATTATGAAATCATAGAGAATAGGATAAATAAAAATGAGCTAATTGGCTAAAGTACCCTATATACCACCTATAATTAGCAAATTAACCTTGATTTGACTGTTGCTTTTCGTGTGACGATTTTGCCCTTCTCTACACTCTCTCTCCTCTCTTTGACATTTCTCTCATTTTTTTTCTCTTCAATCCCTAATTATTTTACAAATCTCTATCATTCTATATGCAATTAAATTTTAAATTTCATTATTTTTTCATAAGTGGTTTTGAATCCTCAATTTTTTGACCTTTTTTCTCTCTAATCCCTAATTATTTTACAAATCTCTATCATTCTATATACAATTAAATTTTAAATTTCATTATTTTTTTCATAAGTGGCTTTGAATCCTCAATTTTTTGATGATATCAATTTTCTGGGTTTTAGATTTGACGTCGTGTTAGCGGTTAACAAATATTGTAGACGTTAACAGAAGTGTTAGTTGTTAACAATTATTTTTACATTTCGCGTTAATAAATGTGTTCGCTGTTAACAAATATTGTAGACGTTAACAAAAGTGTTAACTGTTAACAATTATTTTTACGCTTCGCGGTAATAAATGTGTTGGCTGTTAACAAATATTGTAGACGTTAACAGAAGTGTTATATGTTAACAAATGTTTTTACGCTTCGTGTTAATGAGATGAAAGAGAAAGGGCATTCTCGGCATTTCCTTGCCAAATGGTTGTGTCAGTGCCCTTCATGTCCAATCAATGGTATTTTGCTAATTTGAGCTTCAAATATGGGTAGTTCACTAAATCACTCTAAAAAAATTTACTATCAAATCAATGAAACTGATTTTTTAATTTATGGTAAATTATATATTAATTCAATTTTAATTAAAATTAATTAATATAAACTATTTTCAAATAATGATAACCATATAATCAAAGATTTTTTTTTTAGAATTGGTGGTTAATTATAAATTAATTCATTTTTAGTTTATGGCAAATAATATATTAATAAATCTAAATATTTATTAAGTATAGTAATTTAGCATTAGGCAAAATCTTTGAAATGTGACAAATAAGCAACTTAGCTATAGTTGAGAATATGACAACTAAACAAATTCAATATGTAATATGAAATAACAAAATACTAGAACCCAAAAAAAAACTCTTTAAATGCCCGGAAAAAAATGTAGAGAGAGAACTAGGTTTCATTTGATCAAAAAAAGAAAAGAAAAGAGAACTAGGTTTCCAACCATGAATCTCCATCTTTGCAACAACGTTGTTCCTTTGGATCTGCAGATCGAGATTCTTAGCCGGTTGCCTACTAAATCCGTAGCTAGGTTTATGCTCGTATCAAAATCATGGCCAAAAATCATTAACAGCAAGAGTTTCATCAGGTTAAGATCCTTGACTCAGCCTTTGCGTTTCCTACTCACTTTACACGATACAGATTACCAAACTCGATGCATAAACTGCAGCTTCTTCTCTTCTTCTTCGCCGATATCGTCGTCATCAACATCGATACCAACCATTTTTCTATCCACAATAATTCTTCCTCTCCATGAATCCTCTTACCCTAGTTATCACGTTAATGGTTTGCTGAACATTGGAGAGATCATGTGAACAGTGGGAAGATGCTTTTAGTGATCAGAGGCTTACTCACAACGTTTGGACGGACTTGATTACCTAAGGGTGTCAGATTTGGAGAATCAGTAGCAAGAATGTGAAGCGATTAGTTAGAGGTGGCAGCTTCGAATAGAGGTTGGTAAGCAATAAGCATTGTCTGTCACACCTCCGGATCTTCATGGGTAAATAGATGGACGTTGTTCATCAGGCAACTTATTCATTAGCGATGCGTAGACCAAGTTTTGGAGATGAAGACAATATATGTAGGCATGGGTTCAAAAATAATAAGCCCAACTTATGGATTTCGTACAATTATGTAAGAGGAACAATATGAGTTTTTTTTTTGAACACCAGGGGAACAATATGAGTAAAAAGAGTGATTTGTACATAACTAAAATGTTATAAGTGCTAGGTGTCATTTTCTCCCATGGCGAAAAAAGCTCAACTTTATTATATATCTATATTATTAAAAGAGAAGTACCCATATAAAATACCCCTTAGTTTTCACTTTTATTTATAATAGCATGTCACTGAAGTTATTAATTATCGTACCTTATAAGATTTTTTGTCTTTTCACTTTAATTAATGCATTTCCAAAATCAAATTTTAACTAAAAAGATTATGGAAACAATAATTACTGAAAATAATTATTTTCATATATATCTTTCATAATTAAATAAATAAATTCTATAGAAATTGTTTTACTAATTCCATGTACATAATAATTAATTCCAATATTAATTAACCTACCTTTTAGGATTTTTTTTCTTATTAATTATCTACATATCTTTAAATAGTTAATGAACAATATTGTTTTCAAAGATATATAATTATATTTTTATTATTTATAAGTAATAACTAAAATAAAAGTCACAAAAGAAACATTTATATAATATATAATACATAGATTAATATAAACATATTATGTTATGTATATTTTTATATAAATAATAGTTCAAGGTAAATTCAGAATAATAAAAGTTAAAAAAGTAGAAATATATAGGACCATATACTTTAAATAGTAGATACAACAATTTAGTTATACATTATCATAAAATTGTGATACATAAAAATAAAATAAAAACATTTTTGCAGATATACGGGTCATATTTTTAAAATAAGTATGACACAATGTTAGTTTATAAGATAAAATAAAATTACTCAATATAAACAATAAAATTGTGTGTTTAAAATGTCGTTTTAAACAATTATTTAAACGGGTAAATTTAGAAATATATATTATCACTTATAAAATATATATAAACAAACACTTGCACGGATCAAACAACAAATTTTTTGGTATTCTTCTGTCAAAATTAAACCCATAAGTAATTTGTAACCATTTAATTGATACTTCATTTTTTATTTTAAAAATTTCAATCCAAATGTTTTATATACTAAAAATTTTATATAATTTGAACATGAGGCTTTTTCTTAGAAATGTTATAACTAATTTATCATTTTTTGTATACCATATTAACTCTTACTTCTCAAGATTTGATGTATCTTTAACTGAAAAATATTTTCAATATATCTTCTACATGTTAGATTTGTTTGTATGATACCTAATATTTTTGATACAATAAATTGTTAACACACACAAAAAAAAAACATAATGTAATACAATTAATTTTTACTAAAATTTCATCTAATATAAAAACTAAAAAAATAATAATACCCGTGCGGTCGCACGGGTCAAGGTCTAGTATTTTTTAAAGTAAATACATTATCAGTTCAAATAAAATTTAAATAAATTAATTTTCTCATATTCAAAATATTTAATAAAAGTTAAAAATAAATTATTTATATATACAAGTTTTTATCGTAACATAAATACTTTTTTTATAACATAACATAAACTTAAAAACACTAATTCTTTTGAAACTATTTAGTAATAAATTAAACATCAAGTTTTTTCAATATGACAAACTTGGTCAATATAATAAAATTATTTTTTATTGCATAAACTAAATTTGAAAACATTAATATATGCATTAATATTATATACAATGTATAGGGATTTTATTTTATAATTTAAAACTTTTAAAAAATCTAATCTAAAATATTCTTTTGAATAACGCAACATAAACTGTTTTTTATACAAGGATGATTATCAAATCAATAAAATTTGTTTTTAATTTATGTTTAATTATATATTAACAAATATAGTTATTCATTAATGTTAATAAAGACTTTATAAAATAATATTAATTATATTTAGATAATGATAAATATCAAATCAATGAACTTCACTTTTAATTAATGGTCAATTATATATTGATTTAGTTTTAATTTATGGTTAATTAATATAAATTATTTTTAGATAATGATGATCATCCAATCAAATATTTTTTTAATGAAGCTTAACTATATATTAATTCTTTTTAGTTTTTAGTTAATTATATATTAATAAATCTAATTATTCATTACGAGTAATAATTAATCATTAGTGAAAATCATAAAAGTATGAAAAATAAATAATCAGGTTAAATTTATGGAGAACATGACAATTAAACAAAATTATATTTCAATTAATAGTAGATATTTTTTTTTTAAGATATGGAATATTAAAAGCATTCCAGGAAAAACTTTTTACATACCAAAGCGGCAAAAAAAAAAAAAAAAAAAAAGTAGACAGAGAGCTAGAGTTTCCGACCATGAGTCTTCGTCTTTGCAACAACGTTGTTCCTTTGGATCTGCAGACCGAGACTCTTAGACGACTGCCTTCAAAATCCCTAGCTAGGTTCATGGTCGTATCTAAATCATGGCAAGAAATCATCTGCAGCAAGAGTTTCATCACATCACGATCCTTGACTCAGCCTTTGCGTTTCCTACTCGCTTTACAAGATACAGATTACCAAACTCGATGCATAAATTGCAGCTTCTTCTCTTCTTCTTCGCCTATATTGCCGTCATCAACATCGATACCAACCACTTTTCTATCCAGAATAATTCTTCCTCTGCATGAACCCTCTTACCCTAGTTATCACGTTAATGGTTTGCTGAACATTGGAGAGATCATATGTAACCCTTGCACCGGAAAGACCGTATATTTACCAGAGCTTGTCGACAGAACAACAAGCGCTAGTAGACCAAGGCCAGCTGAGCGCTTTTTCGGATATGATCCTGTCAATAATGAGTACAAAGTATTGTGCATCACCCCGTATGTTGCAGGACACACAACGACGAATTACTTTCAGGTATTCACATTGGGAGCTAATCCTAAAAGATGGAGATTTATAGATTGTGACATTCCTCACACAACTTGGTCTGACGGTCTGTGTATAGATGGGTTTGTGTACTACATTGCCAGCCTGAACAAAGGAATGTGTCTGATGAGATTCGATTTGAACTCTGAGAAGTTTGATGTCTTTGCTAGATTATCTGAGAAAATGGATACTTTGTTTTTTCTTGACGAAGGTTCAAAAACCTTGATAAATTACCCTGGCAAAGTAGCGATTGCCATTCGACGTTTTCAAGTGCCTTCAGTTGAGTTGTTTGTTGTCGAAGCAGGAAAACAGGAATACAAAGTAAAGTCTTTTGATAATCTTCCCCAGCTTCATTTACCTATAAAAGGTGTTACTAATCATATGAGTGACATGATTTTTGCACCTATCGATTCCAGAGGTGAGGTTAACGTTATCCACCACGATCTCCATGGAGCTAGTTTTAAGAAGATGAAGTTTGAAGCGGAGGCAAAGAGTGAAAGGGAAATTGGGTCAAATTATTTCATGGGTTACGTAGAGTCTTATGCTGCTATAAGCTAGAGGAAATTGTTATTATCTCCTTCGTTTGCTATGGATGTTGCCATTACAGTTCATCTATTGTCTAAACATGTTATTCTCTTTTGGTTGCATTCAAATCTTTCCTATATATATAAATATATAAATATGTATATATACATATATATATATATATATATATATATATATACTAGTGGCTTTTAGCTTTACTGTTAATCTATTATTATTGTTGTGGAATATGTCTAGATGGGTTTTATTATGTCACCCATATATGCCTTATATGATTACCATCTCATGAGGAGAGGTGTCGCATGCATTTTTCAATCTGTTTTTGTTTCTTACTACTGTTAAAAAGGAAGACAAACCTTTAACTATTTTTAAATTAGATGTAAAACGTCCAACTAAAATTTTATGTTCTTAAACCTTCAACTATTAAACCGTTAATGTCATTAACCTTCCATTATCAAAATCGTAAACGTAGACCGTAAACGTAAACGGACCTCTATAGTGTAATTGTTTTCGGGATTTTAGTGATTTAAACATTTAACTATTTTAAAATTAGATGAAAAATCTCCAACAAAAATTTTATGTTTTTAAACCCTCAACTATTAAATATTTAATTCTTTTTAACCCTCTGTAAACAAAGTCATATTTTCTGAACGGAAAACCGGTACACCGTTAAATTAAAATGAATTCTATTTTTTTTATTTGAGGTTAAATTGTGATTGTCATTGCCCATTGATATAGGGGGTTTAAATATTTCATGTTGTTTATATGATTACATGAAGCTATATGTTTCAATTTAACGGTTTCCCATTCAGAAAATATGACTTTGTTTATAGAGGGTTAAAAATATTAAAGGTTTAATAGTTGAGAGTTTAAAAACATAAAGTTTTAGTTGGTGGTTTTCCATCCAATTTAAAAATAGCTGGAGGTTGAAATCACTAAAATATTTATTAAAAATGTTGTTTTTGAAATTACATGAAACACAGTGTTTCAATTTAACAGGTCTCTGTTAAGAAAAACGATTTTGATAACGAAGATTAACGGTTTAATAGTAAAAGGTTAAAAACATAAAATTTTAGATGAAAATTTTTCATCGGATTTAAAAATAGTAGATTTAAATCACTAAAAACCCTTGTTTTCCTCATTAAAGAAACAAGCTGATTGTTTTTTACATTTAAAAGGCCAATACTGAACGAGCTAGGCGTGATATTGTTGGGTTTGTAAAATGGGCTGCGAATCAATCACCGATTAAAACAACAACTGAAACCGGTTTTAGTTTATTTTAAATTTTCACTGAATTGAACCGTTCTTCTAATACAGTGGTTTTGGGATTTGCAAAAAACTTGAGAAAATGGCTGCAACTAGGTCTTCGTTTCGGAGCTCCATCTTCAGAATCGGAAGCTTGATCTCACCCGAAGCTAGAATCTCCTTCACAAACCCTACTTCCACTTTTTCATCTCTTCTCCAGACAGGAATCGAAGGTTCCACTCCGAGGTAATTTTGGATTATTTTCACCTGAAATTGAAAATGTATGTTATGTTTGCTGGGTTTTTTTAATTTGACGCAAAGTTTCAATCTTTGATCAAACCCAGAAATTTCCATAGTCTCATTGCTTCCACTGGCTTTGGTCGTTCTACACGCATCTCTTCTCAAAGCAGTCATGACTCTGTTTCCGTCTCTATGTCATACTCAACCTCCGTCCCAACGCGTTCACTCAGAAGAAGAATCAGCAAAAGAAACAACCCAAAACCCGTTCTTAACGAATCCAAATTCCAAGAAACCATTTCAACTCTCCCACCAAGATTCACACCTGAAGACCTCGCCGACGCCATAACCCTCCAAGAAGACCCATTAGTATGTTTCCACCTCTTCAACTGGGCCTCTCAGCAGCCAAGATTCAATCACGAGAACTGCACTTACCACATCGCCATCAGAAAACTCGGAGCTGCTAAAATGTACAAAGAGATGGATGACGTCGTGAACCAAGTCCTCTCCGTTCGCCACGTAGGCAGCGAAAACCTTTACAACTCGATCTTATACTATTTCACGAAAGCCGGGAAGCTGATACGCGCGGTGAATATATTCAGACACATGACGACTAGCAAGAACTTGGAAATTAGACCGACGATTAGAGCGTATCATATCTTGTTCAAGGCCTTGTTGGGTCAAGGCAACAACTCTTACACGAGCCATATGTATATGGAGACGATACGGTCTTTGTTCAGACAAATGGTGGATAACGGGATTGAACCAGATGTGTTTGCTTTAAACTGTTTGGTTAAAGGTTATGTGTTATCGCTTCACGTTAATGATGCTCTTAGGATATTTCATCAGATGAGTGTGGTTTATAATTGTCAGCCGAATTCGTTTACTTATGATTATTTGATACATGGGCTGTGTGCGCAAGGGAGGACCATTAATGCTAGAGAGTTGCTTGATGAGATGAAAGGGAAAGGTTTTGTGCCTAATGGGAAATCTTATAACTCGTTTGTTAATGCACTTGCGCTTGGCGGTGAGATTGATGATGCGGTTAAGTGTTTGTGGGAGATGGTTGAGAGTGGAAGAGTGGTTGATATGATTACGTATAGAACACTTGTTGCTGAGATTTGCAGGAATGGGAAGAACGATGAAGCGAAGAGGTTATTGGATATGTTGAGAGAGAAAAGGCTTGTGGACAGAGATTCTTATGGGAAGCTTTTGAATGTTCTTCACAAGGATTTGTAGTTGTACAAAATTGTGTTTCTAGTTTGTTGTAATATCGCAAATTTTTGGTGAAATTTTATTTATTTATGCAAGTAATGAACAAAGTGAAAACCCTTCGTTTGTAATATCAGAAACTACGTCGTTTTACTTTCGACAAACTACGTCGTTTCAGTTTCGAGAAACAATGTCGTTTTAATTCCGAGAAACTAAGGGAAAAGAAAAGGCTTGAACGAGTCTGAAATTAGGCAGTGTTCATCTTCTTCGATTTTGGCATCTCCAAAGTCCTAAGGCGATTACTCTCAATCAGCTAATTAGATTTAAAATAGACTTTGTTTTGGGGGTGGCGTTGTTAATTAGGGTTCTGTTCAAAATTTAATCTTTCCCTTTTATACGTCTCGGAATTGCATATGGGTCGATACAAGGAGATTCCAACAGCTGTTAGGGTTTATACAGTTTGCGATGAATCAAGGTAATACCTCCCAACTAACACTAATCGATTTTGTTTCTTCAAAGTTTGAACCTTTTTGTTTGTTTTGTTGGTTTCAGATACTTGGTAGTACGAAACGTACCGGCTTTAGGTTGTGGTGACGATCTCATGAGATTGTTCGCTACTTACGGAGATATTGAAGAGTTAGTATCTCTATTTTTCCCCCTCTTTTTTTTTTGTTTCTCACCATTGTTACTTTCGGTTCTGATATTTTGGTTTATCTGGTGTTGAGTAGATGTAAACCAATGGATGCAGAAGACTGTGAGCAGTTTACTGATGTCTATTGGATCAAGTTTCGTCTCATCGCTAATGCAAGGTTTTGGTTCCTGTGTCTCTTTAGTGATCATATTCATGTCTTTGTGTAGGTTCTTACGCTAAAGCTGTCTGAATTTTTTATATGTCTTGACTTGTTTTCTTACTTGTTTATATTTTTTTGGTTCCAATATGAAGAGTTTGTTTGGTTAAAGGTATGTTTTGTGTTTGATAGATTTGCAAAGAGGAAGTTGGATGACTCAGTTTTCTTGGGAAATCGACTCCAGATTTCGTATGCTCCTGAGTTCGAGAGTCTCAGTGACACAAAGGATAAGTTGGAAACAAGGAGGAAAGAAGTGCTTTCAAGATCCAACCGTATGCTTTCTTATTTCCCCCACTTCAATTAGTCTTCTTGCAACGAAAAGAAAGTTTTTATTATTAGTTAGGAAATTGTATTAGTAAAGTGTTTTTTGTGTTAGAATTTAGACGATTCACAAACATCATCTTGTGAACAGCCCAGAAAGCCAAGAGCGTCTCACAAGTCACAAAACCAGCTTTGACCCCAATGGATAATTTCTCACAACAAAAGTAAGAAGATCGTTTACTTGGCCTTTTGCTTTGTATCGATAAACACATCAAGTTAGTCCCATGAGAGATTTCTTCTTCCTATTTTTTTTTGTTTTGTAGGAGTTTACAAAGAGAGATGGATTACCAATTCCATAGAAGACATGCTCCTGTTACTCGAGTTTCATCTGACCAGGTCTGTGTTTTGAATTCTACTTATTTGAACATTATTCGTGTGATTAAGCTTCAAGATATCTCAGGCTTGTTGGTTTCTTTTTCTAAACAAATTGAATTGTTGTGTAGGAGTATTTTGCGTCATCTTCAATGAATCAAACGGTTAATACTGTGAGGGAGAAACTAAACAAGGTAAAAGAACGAACCTTACCATGTTTGTATTTATAAGTTAACTCATGACTAAAACATTTCCTCGTTGGCTTGTGACATTTTTTGTAAAGATTGAAGAAAGTGGTAAGCAGAAGAGGTTAGAAGCAAGCAGCCAGAATCTGCAAACAGAACCTGACTTGAAGAGAACCCGAATTGATAACCGAAGAAGAATCTAAAACTGATCTCGGGAAATGCTACTAAGCTTAATCATTTTGACTTGATCTTAATAGTATTCCTGTATTTGTGAATATTGAAATTTCTTGAGAAAAAACTTCCAATTTTCCAATTTTAGTTACTGCAGAAACAATTTATGTGTCGTCAAGCATATATTACAAACCATCCAAAACAAAGTCGTAGCAAATTAAGTAGTTTGTTAAAACTTTTTATTTTTGTTTTATCAATTTGATTTGTTTGTACAATATTCTAAACTTGAAAATCTTTTTCAGAGTTAATAAGAGTTCAAAGCAATTTTCTCTCTCTCTCTCTCTCTTTCGATTTTACCGAATTATTCCGGTTTAGCAAACCGGCAGGCTGAAGGAGGGTTTACCAAGGCTTTTGGAATTTTTTTGCAGAAAGAGAGAAGAGAAATGGCTGCAACGAGCATCGCTTCTAGGTCTACGACGTCTCTAGCCTCCATCTTACGAACAGCTTCAAAAAGAAGCTTGAACCCGCCTAGACCTAGAAACTCCCTCCCGAACCTTAATCCCACATCGTCGCCTCTTCGTCAGGCTCGAATCGAAGCTTCTTCTCTTCCCAGGTAATAACATTCGCAGTCTTTTTGTGACATTTGTAACCAATTCGATTTAAACCCACGATGTATTGTGATAAAGTTTTCATATGAATTTTGATTTTGAATCTGAAAAAGGTTTCTGCGGCGAGAACTAAGTACGCATCAACCGTTTCATAGCGTTGTTGCTGCCGCTTGCCTTGTTTCTAAACTCCCTTCTGACGTCACCTCTTATGAAGGTAATTCCAGAAACTTGCTTTTTGATTGGTTTAATTGTACTTTTTTGAGGTTTGGATTAGTTAGTCTTAGTGGCATAGATAACACAACAGTTAGCTTCACTTTCTTGGGTATGATTGATTGTTTCACTTATTGGCTGTGTTGACTTAAATTACCGAAATCAAAAGAGATATAGTGAAAATCAAAAGATCATTCATATGTAAGATTCTAACTACTACGCATCTTCAAATGACAGGTAGATTTGCCAACTATGTCAGTCCCATCTAAGAGGCAAGCACCTGAAGTAGATGGATGGCTTTTTCCGGCTTGTTTGATGTTTTCAAGAATATTCAGCTTCTTTAGTTAAAAAATACATGTTAGATGGAACCCCCAATACAGTTTTTGGCAGATGTTATTACTTCCATTTTAGTTGGGTTCTTATCTTTTCAATCAAATGGTGATTCAAATCACTGTTGGAGTCAGGAATGTATGGTATAACCTCTCCCGGATACAACTACTCTTTTCAAATTTAGAAAAAAGACTGTTTGCACGGGATAAACTTTTTTTCATTTCTACCAATTTATGTGCCTTAGCCTTATTTTTTTTTGACTCGAGTGAAGGATGTGTTAAGTGTCTATGCTCTTCTTCCTTTTCTTGTTATAAAGTTTTTGTCTGCATAGAGACTCCTAGTAGATTTCATGTCATCATGAGATATGTGTAGGTTTCATATGTCCTGTTGTGAAAATAACTCCACTTTGGTACTAATTTTCTCTTGTTGTTTCCAACGCATGAACGTATCTTGGATAGAAATGTGTGATTTGTCGCACTTCTTGAAAGAAACCAATATGGACACAACTTATTGTTTCTCTTCTGTCCATGAGAGCTCCATATGATCTTGTCACCATCTCTTTTCAAGTGGGTATGCGTGGAAACCAATCTCAAGTAAAGAATTTGCAGATGCTTAGTTGAGAAGATACTTGAAACCGGCCATCACCACATAAAACGTTTTTAAATACATGAAAGTTACGAACATATACAATGATGAGTTCTTGCAGGCTCTAGTTTTTAGTACGAGTCTTCAACAAAATTAATTTGGAAGTTTCCGTTTGTCATTGTTTGGCTTTGTGCCCCCATGCGGTTTCACTAAAGCACTTGGTTCTTTTCCCCGTTCTGAATTTGTTGCCATATTCCACATAAAAGCCAAGGAAAAACTTTTTACTTAGGACATCTTCAGTCATTCGTTTCATTTTTATCTTTAAAATTTTACTTTTTTCAAATGGAACAAAAATGAAGCTTTTTATCTTGTTCTATAAATTTGATTTTCTATATATTGTAAGCTAAATTTGTATACTTGTAAGAAACATTAATTTTAGATATTTGAATTAATTAAATATAATTGATTGATAGTTATTGGAAAATGTATAACAAAAATTAATTTAAACATTTATTGTATCCTTAATAAATATGACCATTATAAAAAAATATTTCTTTCAGAAATGGGAGAAGTAACTTATTCTGGTTTTTTATATAAATTTGGTGACTTTGTAGATATCTGCTGTTTTGAATTGGTTGGTATGTATCCGCTCTACATCGAAAAATATACGACATGCATTCATCTCTCATCAAAAATTTTGACTGTACCTACCACATGACAGAGCAAAACAGAGCTAACCCTAAGTTTCTGAACCAAATTCCCAACAATAGATTTAGTTTAAGAGAAAAAAAAAAGACTGCCAATGAACTAAATCTGCCCAATTGCAGAAGTTTGCGATCATACAAATTGACCCAAACGTTAAATTTTTGAGTTATATTAAAAAAAAAATATCGGTTTATATAGATTTTGATTGTATGGTATCTGTAGCGCAATAAAAAAGGTGGAAAATTGTTACTTTATATTACGCTATAAAATTACATTATTCTATATTTAATACCGTATGCTCATTACTGAAACGGTAGAAAACATACATTTTCTATTACGCTTAGCTTTCGTAAGAATAAAGGGAAAATTGACAAAATAACCTTTAACTTTCGAAAACAAGTAAAAAAAATCATCAACTCACAAACAAACTATTTTAATCTTCAACTTCTAGTCAAACACGAATAAATCTCATATTTTCGTTGACTAAGCCATTTTAATCTCGTCAAAATTCAACCGTTTAGTTCCGTTAGTTATATTTAACGGTTGACTTTTAATGAGCCTAAATTTGCTTAGTCAACGAAATTATGAGATTTTTTTATTTTAATTTAAAAGTTGAAGATTAAAATTGTTTACTTAAAAATATCTTAACTAAAAATTGCTATTTTTTTTTATTTTTTCAACAAAAATTGTAGTTTATCATATCGATTAGAATGACAAACTTAATAAAATATGTTCAAATAAACTTAGTTATAATTTTAAATGAATTAAAAAGAAAAAAATGTTTAGTAAAAAAAATTGATTTAAAATACAAGTATACTGTAAATTAAGATATAAAATAAAATAATTAAGTGCTTATGTTCAAAAAAATAAAAGAATAAAAATATAAAAGTTAAAGGTAAAGCCCTAAACACATTGTTGTTAAAAGTATAATCACATATACTCAATAGAGGATGAAACAAGTGAAAATGAGGAAGTCAAATGCGTGAAAGGGATTTCCGACAGCTGATGTATAGAAATTTTTTGTTTTAATTCATTTTTAAATATATATCTAAACTTATAATAACATATTTTATTAAGTTAATGATTACAATCGATATGAAAAATTATATTTTTCTGTCGGAAAAAAAGCAATTTTAATCTTCAATTTTTAAATTAGGATTAAAAATCACATACTTTCGTTGACCAAGCCATTTTAGGCTCATTAAAAGTTAACCGTTAAATATAACTAACAGAACTAAACGGTTGAATTTTGACGAGATTAAAATGGTTTGGTCAACGAAAGTATGAGATTTATTCGTGTTTAACTAGAAGTTAAAGATTAAAATGGCTTGTTTGTGAGTTGAAGATTTTTTTGACTTATTTTCGAAAGTTGAGGGTCATTTTGTCAATTTTTCCACTTCACTTTTCCTTTTTTCTCGTTTTTATATTTCCGCTTATTTCCACTTTTTTATTTCACTTTTTTATTCCAAAAGTAATCAATCACACTCACAGTGCAAGAAAAAAAAACAAATATATATATATATCTATATATATAAAGTAATGTTTGCCTCCCTCTTACCTATGCCACGTCATTAAATAAGAGTCTCTGAGCGTGCCACGTGTCTTACGAATCAAACGTTGCGTTTGCAATATACAAGTGGGTCATATTATGTGTGGGCTCTATGTTTTATCATGTAATCCAGCCCATTAGCAAGTAACGTAAGCCTTTCAACTCGCGTGTGCTCCGATTTTAGGGTTCACCATTGTTCTTTCTTCTCTGCCCGTCCGAAAGCTTGAGCTCCGCCGTCCGAAAGCTTGAGATGATGTAGTCGGTGTGATGATTCCGTTTAGGTGCTCGATCGCGTCCTTTGATCTCCTTTTCTATCAATCAAAACTAATTCAAGCCACTTACAGATTTACATTAAACATCTTCTTAATTCCTCCAGCCACGATCTATAATTTAATGTGAAGTTATCTTCTGCGAGGCGGTGGTCTGGGGGTATAAAAAGGTTAGCTTTTCACGTCTCAAAACCATCTTCTAAATCTTTTTTAGTAAACTTTTTCTTCGTAAAATAGCTAACTGCTCTTTGTTCATTTGTGTTCATCGTTATTAGTTAGGGTTCATTGAGTAATTTGTTCTGTTACTAACCAAAGAGACGATGGTGTATACGACAGTGATTTGTGAGACAAATCGTGATGCTGATTCCCTGGATCGAGCTGTCTTAGTGTCGTTTCGTCTCCGTTTCATCTCCTCGGAAACGTTACATGAGGAATTTATTCACCGTTTCATCTCCTTTGACCCACTGAAAAAAACATTGTGCAAGCCCAAAAGAGGAGAAGAAAGGTTGGTTGCTTTAAGTTGAAACTAAATAGTCTAATCTTATTCATTTTACGAACTTTTCAATCAAAAGTGATCTGATTTTTCCTTTTGTCATTACAGTTGTTGCTTCTCAAGCTGTTTGGATGGTGGTATGGTGAATTTAACGAGGTCAAATAGGTTTACCTATGGATTAGGCACCACTCATGTTGCTGCTTTTTTTTTTATCTTGCACTGCTGCTTATTATGGCTCAAACTCTGCACAGAAGATAGCGTCTCAAACAGCAGTAACACTTTATGTGATCTTGAACTCAGTAAACTGGATGCTAATGCATGATTTTGTTTCTCTTGGATTCCTCTCCAGGATTATACTGATATATCCCATGTGACTGGTTAGACAGGTTCTGTTTCCATTATTCTAAGAATTTGAAACAAACTGTGGTCTTAGAGGTGAGCTTAACTTACGTAAGTTCCAATGTTTTTATACTATGATGATTGTATCTGTATTGAGGCTGGAAGCTTATCTTTTGTTTGTGTTCAAAATTTTCCAGATTTTTATTCAGAAGATGAAATCACCATGGATAAGTTTCAAAATGGTAGGTTTACGTTATTGTGTTAAAGTTTGCTTTATAGCTTTGTTACAACTTCTAAATTGACTCTTTTATTTAGAATGGAGAAATCAGAAGCCACTGAACTGAATGATCACAAGGCCAACATAGAAGCTGGTGAATCTGAGTCTGATGACAAGATAAATCTGACTCTTTAACTCTGATGAGGTAGATTTTAGCTTTGTTTTAGTAGTGCAACGTTATAGTTTTTTTCAAAATTGGTTCTGAATATCTTTGACTCACCTAATTTGTTGAAAGCTATGATCTTTATGCTGATTACTGAAATGTGATGCATGTTTTATTTATTTGGTTTTAGATGGGTTCGGATGGTGATGAGGATGAGGACAACTCAGAAAAGGAGGAGGAAACACCATAAATGTATTTTCTTAATGAATTGGCTCTTTGCACTAAGAGCTTACGAAGAGATTGATGATCGGTTACCGTGATCATCACAATATCAGTTTTAATGTTCTCTTATTTTGTTTATCTTTACTTTTTTTACTATCCTCACAACAATTTGCTCTACTTTTTTATATGAAATGCATTTTCACATTATTATTAGTATCACTCACACTACATGTTGGAACACAATTATTCATCAATAGAAATAGTTTAGTCTTACAACATCTACAAAGATGAAAAGTTAAAACGTCAAATTGCATAAACAAGATTCTATAGATACTCAGACTCTGACTGACTTCACATACACGCTGGTCGTATCCTTCTAACGCAAGTAAACTTCGTAACATAACAACAACTACTAAACTATTCGTAACGTAACTTCTTTTCTTTTTAACAAGACACGGGAAGTTGAACTCGCCTCTAAAAAAAGATTTCTTCACCTCAATGATTCTAATGTGAAACGTATAATTCCACCTCCACTCCCATTTTACAAATCGGTATAAATAACAAACGAATTTTAACATCTATTTGTTTGCTTATTGTGCAGTTATCATCAAACAAATTGAAGAAACTTCGACAACCTCTCGAGATCATCATCTTAACGACCCTACTTCGGATAATCATTTCTCATAACTCCAGGAATATCATTAAGGCCTAACAAGTTAGAAAGTAGCTATAGCCAACCAGTTGAAGATGGAGAGCCAATGAATTAGTAAAACAAAATAAAACTTT